GTACTCACCTTCACCCCTCAGCCAAAGGACCACGGCACCATCCTCACCTGTCAGGTGGAATTCCCTGCAGTTGGTATAACAGTAAAGAGAACTATACAGCTCAAAGTCTCCTGTAAGTGCTGGGTGGAGACATCTAGATCTCTGAGGACAACTGGAGCCAGGGGGAGGAGGTTGGTATTGGGGACTCTTGGTGCTGTGGCCTTGAGACCAGGTGTGGATGGGCTGAGAAATGTCCCCCACACAGCAGCCCTTCTCCAAGTTGTGTTACTCTGTGAGATGCAGCCAATGTGCCCTGTACACTTCATTTTTGAAGAATAGACTTCCATTTTCTATCACAGATGCCCCACCCTCAGTGAACGTCAGTATTTTTTGGAGAAACTGCACAGGTAGGGAAGTAGTGATTTTCTGGAGGGTGTGGTAAGGGTGGGGGTCCTTCCCACAGAAGTGAGAGTCAAACCAGAGTAGAAAGGAGGTGAAATTTAAATCTGACACAAACGTTCAGCCCCCTTCACACCGCTATCCCCTCAGCCTGATTTGAATCCCTTTTCTTCCTGACCCTCATTGCACAGCCCAGAAGGTTGTCTTGGAAGGTTGTCTGTGGTTCCTCTATTCTTCAGTCCAGGGCTCTCGGGTCCACCCTCTATGGTCTCTGTCTCTCTGTCTCAATGCCACTAGCCCCAATGACTGTGAGCAATGGCACGTCGCTGCCCATCTTGGACGGTCAGTCCCTGCGCCTGGTCTGCATGGCTGATGGCAACCCCCCTGCCTCCCTGAGCTGGTTATGGAAGAGCAGGAACATGAATTCCTCTCAGGTCTCAGCATCCGGGGTCCTGGAGCTGTCTTCTGTAGGGCCTGAGGATGGAGGGGAATTTACCTGCAGAGTTCATCACCCTCTGGGCTCCCAGCACTTTTCTTTGAACCTCTTTGTTCAGGGTGAGTAACAGGACAGGAGCTGGGGCGACAGACTTGCTGGTGTTTGGGATGGGGGAGGGGCCAGGGCTTGGGACAAAGTTCCATTCCCTTTTTCTTCCAGGAAGCCCATCCATTAACTTGTGTGCAGCTGAGAAGCAGGAGGGCTTTTGGCCTCTGTTCCTCACCCTCATCAGAGCAGCTGCCATGGGAGCCGGCTTCCTGCTCACCTATGTCCTCACCCGGGTGTACTATACCAGGTGAGCATGCCAACCCTCTCAAGTGTACCCTGTGATAGGTCCCCAGGTTCTGGGTTGGGCTGCGCTGACTTGACCTGCCTGGTATTGCAATTAACCCACCTGACTCTGAGCTGAGACACATGTGGACTCTGCAGGTGTGGAGGTGCCCGGGAGCACAAGTGTGTGAAGCGTCACAGACCCCTTTCCTTTTGATTCTGGACTGAGCTGTGTACATGAAGACCCAGTGGACAGGTGTGGGGACATTGCTGTCAGTATTTCCCTAGAGATTCTTAAAGCACCAACGATGACCATTGGAGCCCATCCTCAAGAACCGGTCCCTGTGTCCCACATCTATTCCTCAGACAAGTGCCAGACTTTGGGGACTTGTCCAATTGCCAATTGAAAGTTACCTTGTTAGAGGCTTTTGTAAATGAGGAGAGGAGGAGGGATTGAAGGGTGTTTTAGAGGATTGGAAACATCAAGTTATATCGTATTCAGGTGCAAAGTCTAGATGATGAATGTGATCATTATGTATGTCTAAAATGTAGCAATAAAGTCTGATGTAAAAGCACAAAGTTACCATGTTAATATTGGCCTGTTTTTAAATCAAATTATAGACTCATTGCATGTCAGGTTAGTTCTCTTGCCCCCATGAATCTACACTTTCTTATGTTCACCTACAGTGAGTAGAGGGAAGCTCAGTATTCTGAAGGCTGCAAATGTGAATGAGGGCCATGCTGTGCCCGAGGACGGGAATCCCTATCTGTGACCACACCTATGCTAAGTGGTCCAAGTCCTACTCTGTGTCTAGGCTCCACTGAAGCTTCCCCTCTGTGCACCCCCAGAGCGGTGTTGTGGACCTGGAGAGCACAGATGTGTCTGCCCTTTCCCTACTTCCATGCTTATACCTGTCTGGGACTCTCATTTTCATGGAGACCATGTGAGTTAGACCATGGCCCACGAGACCTGCTTAGCCTGTTATTCTTCCAAGTGTATCTGTAGGGAAGCTTGTTGATCTCTCATTGTATCCCAGAGAGAAATGGCTGCGGGTATGAGGAAAAGAAGGAAAAGAGACAAGAGCTGGATCAGGTGCAGTTACCTCTTACCTGAAGAGCAAGAGGACTGACTTCAACAGTAGGAGCATTTATTTTATACTCTTGAAAGTTAGTTTCAGGAGAGGTAATGTTGCCTAGTGACTAATAATTGTCCTGTAATTGTCCGGGCAGCATACTTTTATCAACACTGAGGTGGCTTGACTGTTTGAGGCACTCTGGCTCTGTCCTGTCCTCATACATATGACCAATATCCAGCTCCACTGGCTCCCAACATACCTCCTTTTTCTGTTTAGCTGCAGAAGTGATGGGTGTTCAGTTGAGCTGGAAAAGCTTTGCTTGATGAATATAGTCCAAAGTCCATAACAGTGTCCAGTTATCAGTCTAGCTGGCAATAGTCAGAGGTTGTTGCTTATTTGATCCTTTTATAGCTAATGTATTACTACAGCATTGCTTTTGCATATCTTGTAGTTACTCTTGTCTACTGGATGCTTAAGACCAAGTTAAAGTGAGACTTGTATAAATAAAAATTTAAATTTTTGGTATCTATCGATGTCAATTAAGTCTCCTCAGGAATCACCATGGAACCAAGTATAGCATCTCTAGATTTTTCTGTCAGTGTCAGCCATCTGCACCAGTCATGGTCATTGCTTGACCAAGTTGCTTTCTGTGAAAGCTTGAGAGATTTTTTCTTTCCTGGTGACTCTCCTTAGGCACACTATACATCATGGAGTCACTTTTCTCTGTGGTCCCATTTCCTTGATCAGGAAATCAGGGACTCCACCGAGTTACAGGATGTCACAGCGGAGGTTATCTTATGCCCTGAGTCTTTATTGATGCCCTTGGAGGGTGTGGTCAAAATATTGGCTGTGCTCTTAGCTCAATTTATATCTCTAAGTTTTAGTCTGCAGACCTCAGTTGTTAAACATTCAGAAGAGAAGATTAATGACATAACATTGTAATAGAGGCAGTAAGCTTAGTATTACTATCTGATCTGAATAGCAAACACCTTAGAGCATTAAAATGGAACTGTTATTTTCTAACAACCATGGATATCCTAATATTTAAATCTTCATCAAATGTTAACAGACAACAGTTACATATTTTTACACAGAAATTTAAAAGTCAAAACGATCCATAACATAGCTACATAACAATCATGTTGACATTTTGTAACATACTTAACTTTTCATTTTGACATAAAATTACCCTTTTAACCAATTATCTCTGTCTTATACATAAGAAGCTTTTACCTAATTTGTTGGGTTTTTTTTTTTTTTTTTTTTTTTGTTTTTTTTTCTGGTACTGGGAATCAAACTCATGACCTTGCACTTGCCAGGCAGGCACCGTGCTGCTGAGCTAAATCCCCAGCCCTAATTTGTTGTCCTTTAATGGTATATACATAACAAGTTTTTGTTAAAGGCAGAAATTTGAATCTGAAGGAAAGTTTTATCACAGTAATCTTTGCTTTACATTTTGGAAGACCTGTAGATCTGGAATCACGAATATATATACTATACCATGAGATTAACACTAATGAGTTACCATACACATGTGAAAACGTTATTAATTTAGTTTTGTACCAAGAGCATCTTTTATGAGACAACTTTATTGTAATATTTACTGAAAAACTTTCTTTTGACTAAATGACCAAATTATTGGGGTGTCTCCCAAGTGACTACAGAGATCTTTGGGGGCTCCTACCAATGAATAAATATTGGCCACCCCTCTATTCACCAATGGCAGTTCTGCCCATTAATTTCTCCTGACTCTAAGGAATTTTTGTTAATTATCTTGAATTTTTTGTTAATTATCCTAAACATTTTGAACCGTGAGAAAGCCAATTTTGATGTCATTTGAACCAGCTGGTAACTCAGGTGAAAGCATGCTTTTAAGTCTATAATCCAAGTTGTATTATGAACAAATGATAAAAGAAAAATTGTTGAGCTCAAATAAAAAGGGGAATAGCTGTTCACAGAATGACAAACATGTAAACAAGCACACAGAACAAATGAAGGAACATCTTTACAAAATCAGAGGGCGCTCAAATATATTTTTGACCAAATTGAATTATAGTAACTCTATTACATTTTTAGAAATTTATAATTTAAGTAGACTAGTCACATTTTGCTGTCAGTTAGCAGAGATCTCTTATAAAAATTTTGGGAGGATTAGAATTTTTTTATCTATAATGAATATGCATATTTTGTATTTTATTTTGTCTTAAGAATACTGGTAACTTTCAGCTCAATTATCTCTATATACTCGATCACCTATTTAGACCTTAGATTTCCATTTTGTCAGTTTCTTCAATTGGTCCCAGGTCGAATCTCACTTCATTGTTGTCTATTGGCTGTAAAGCAGTCTCTGAGGCATCACTGTTACGGGACCGCTCATCAGCTCTCTGAAAGGTAGAACTAACTTTTTCTCCAGATCTGAGTTCATGATACAATCAGACAGCATGCTCTAGCAAAACACAAGCATATTCTGGACCCCAAATGAGCATTTTTGGCTTTACCTGATTGTCTTTCTGCTGTTGTATTTATATCTTTTGTAAAATCTTAAAAATGTTACTAGATTTTCATTTTCTGTATACTTTCAAAAGAATTAATTATCAGGTTATAATTTTTAGGATCCCTCTGAAAAGAGTCAGTGTAACGTCCAGGAGTAGACACACAAAGTCTGTTGGGATGTCCTTGAAAAATGTCATTTAACTTAGTTAGGCTAGCTAAATTAATTACCTCTAAAAGTTTCAAAACAGAAAATGTGCATCTACCTTTATATGGACTCTAATTGCTGGGTCAGATTGATGTGAGAAGGAATCTTCTCCCACTTAGCTACTTGCTAGAGCCATTATGTTTAGAATAAACCACTCACACCTGGACACACCTTGGCAGGTGCCAATACTAAGCAGCAGCTTATTGCTTTATTGTCTGGTGCAGCGCCTGGGGCACGAAGTCCTGCAGGAAGCCATAGAGCTCAGGGAACAGGCCCATTAAGTCCCGCAGTAGGGTGAGTGTGAGCGTCCCCTCTGCCTCGGAGACGCTTGCCATAAAGGTAATGAGGGGTTTAGCCCTTGGTGCTGCTCCCCACCACTGCTGTCAGGTCCCACCAACTCCTTGGTCACCCAGGCCTCAGTCATCAACCACTCAGCCCATGTATCACCCTCTTGGCTCTGCCATCACCCTTGCCATGTGCAGTGCCAAAGGGTGCATTTCCAGCTAGTGTGGCCGTGGCATGGCCAGGTTGGCACTGGGTGGCCCTGTCCTTCCTCCCTGGGGTCTGGGCACTGGTTAGCCACCACTGGCATGTGGGCTTCTCATGCTCCATTTCCATGCCAACTTGTTAGCCTCCATCACCGTCTCTTCCTTTGTTCTTGACAGAGGTTTCCTGTGTGTCTCCAGAGCTCCTCATCCCCGTCCTTGCTGCCCTCCCTCTACCCATGTAGCTTTAGTTTTTTTCCAGATTCTCCCTGGGTGGTCTCCTCCATCCGTGTCCCAGGCCTTGAACTTTTTGTGACCTGTTCTACCCGGCACCCTAGTGTATCTTGTAGCACAGAGACCAGAGCAGCAGTGAACTCAGGGAAGGGTGCTATGGGCAGGGGAATGGGAGCGGCTGTGAGCAGGGAGGTGGGAGGGGGTGGCTGCCTATGAGGCAGCAGTGCCCAGTCACAGCCTTGGGCAGAGCAGTGCTGACATTTCAGGCTCTGGCAATAACTGGCTGTAGCTTCCACTTTTATCACCTTGAGGCCGAGTGAGGTGCTGGCAGGGCCCCACCAGCCCTGCTTTATTTTGGAGAATGGGCTCCACTGCCTGTGCCCCTGCAAGCTGCTCTGTGGTTACTGCCTCTGTAGCCACAGGGGACGTGTCCAGCCACTGTGCGTGCTGGCCATCATTTTTATTCCGGCTGCCAGATACTCTATTTTTGCCTGTATTTCAAGCACTGGTGTCATCACAGGACAGGCGCCTG